TATATATGAGAGCTCTAAATTTTTGATCCAAGCTTAAAAATGTGCATAAAATATGTAAAAAGCAAATTAAACACTAATTAAAAATACATTTAAGAAAATTACTACGTACTATATTAAAAATTAATGAATTTTAAACGTCCACGCGCGCGCGCGCGTGCGTGCGTGCGTGTGTGCGTACGTTTATTTATTTTGTTTATTCGTGCGTACACGTGTGCGTGCGTGCGTGCGTGCGTGCGTGCGTGCGTGCGTACGTGCGTGCGTGTGCTATCGCGGATGTGTTGATTTTACGAATAGTTGAGCACATTGAACAATTAACGGACGTGCAGAATTACGGAGAATGTTGCTCCAAACGCACTCAAGGCTAACCTCATGTAAATACAACGCGAGCTCGTGACTATGTATGGCCACCACGTCACACACTCGTCTCCGCCAGCGATATTTCTTTAACGTGATTAGCTTTGACTTATTGATGCAACAAACGCAGATCAAGTTACACGTGGATATATATATATATATATACATATATATAATATATATATATATATATACATATATATAATATATATATATATATATACATATATATAATATATATATATATATATACATATATATAATATATATATATATATATACATATATATAATATATATATATATATATACATATATATAATATATATATATATATATACATATATATAATATATATATATATATATACATATATATAATATATATATATATATATACATATATATAATATATATATATATATATACATATATATAATATATATATATATATATACATATATATAATATATATATATATATATACATATATATAATATATATATATATATATACATATATATAATATATATATATATATATACATATATATAATATATATATATATATATACATATATATAATATATATATATATATATACATATATATAATATATATATATATATATACATATATATAATATATATATATATATATACATATATATAATATATATATATATATATACATATATATAATATATATATATATATATACATATATATAATATATATATATATATATACATATATATAATATATATATATATATATACATATATATAATATATATATATATATATACATATATATAATATATATATATATATATACATATATATAATATATATATATATATATACATATATATAATATATATATATATATATACATATATATAATATATATATATATATATACATATATATAATATATATATATATATATACATATATATAATATATATATATATATATACATATATATAATATATATATATATATATACATATATATATGCTGCTCTCGCAGTGACAACGGCTGATCAGTACACTTACGGCGCATGCGCGGCCAGTGACGTCTACAAGCAAACGTGAGCGAGTTACCGCATAAAGCGGCCGCCAGGTGGCCGGGAATGCCAAATGTTAGTTAGAGAAATCTCGCCGGAATTTCAATATAGAAAATTTACGTTTTGTTTATGTTGGAACTTCGAAATTCGATGTATCATCCAAAGCGCACGTACGCACACACCGACATACGCGTGCGCGCACGATACAGCGGAAGAGCCTGCCAGCATGCACATTACAGGTTATACGCTAGAAAATTCTCGTAAATGAAGCGTTAGTGAGAAAGAAATGAAAATAAATAAATTTTATTTAGCAATTATATTACTAACAATAATTAACACAGTAAATATTTAATTACAATTCATAAGCGTTACAATTGCTATAATAAGTTCAATTAAACTCAAATGCATGATCTAGGTTAAAATGTCAAATTAAGTTCATTTTGTTAAAGAAATTATTGCTTCTCTAATATATAACCAACCGTTGTTTTATACGCCGAGACATTGTCCTAAATTTTCCTTTATTTAATTCCAATTTATAAGCGGTATAATTATTACAGTATGTGGAATTAGACTAAAATGCATGTTACAGCTTGAAACGTCATTTTTTACGTTGTTAAAGCAATCCTTTTTTCTCTGAAGTAAAACCAACATGTTTACTATACGTCGAGACGTTGACTTATATTCTCTATCATTTTCAACGTTACTTTGCCCTATGGTTAGTGTCCTTATGTCAGCGGTGCGCTTAACCAACAACGCTGAACGGCTGTATGACGCTATGCATTCAGTTTGAGAAGGACTGAGAAGGCAGGAGACATGAACGTTGAAGTAGACTCCTACGGTAACATGAGATAATTATAATAAAAATAAAATCTTGTAAAAATATTAAACTTTTTATGTACGAGCGGATTTGTTCGTATCTATGTTTAAGAGGGTTGCGCGTGCGTGTGTGTGCGTGCTTGTGCGCGTGCTTCTGTTTCTGTGTTTGCGCGCGTAAATGTTTATAAATGAATAAATAAATAAATAAATATTTATATAAATATATATATATATATATATATATATATATATATATATATATATATATTATATATATAGGCAAATATACATATACATACATAGCAGTAATTCTATAGAATCTATTATAGTACGTAATTTCATGGCTGTACATTCGTCGGGGGTTGGATCGCAAACAAACCTCACGTGATCGCGCGCGCACTAGTAGCGGTATCTATACCCCCCCTCCCACCCGCCGACCACGTGACGCGCCGCCGACGTCGCGCTCCGCCGACTAACTGAATCAGGAAGCCGCGTCGATGCGGCCTCGTTGATATCGTGTACGGTATCATTTCGGCAGGCGGTAATGGGCGAACGTAACGCCCAGTAAAACGCGGCGGGCTCTCCATGCTCTCTGTCATCGTCCCCTACCATCACTCGCCACGCGCGTCCGGCTAGCGTGTGTGGCGTACAGATTAAACAGCTGGGCCTACACAAGAGCAGAGCACTTACGCCGCGACGGAAAATCATAGGGTGTGTGGCGCGCGCTGTTAGCTCTGCATCTACTAGTCGTTTATCGCTTATAAGCTCGGTCAGTGACATCGTTAAACGAGTGGAAACATGGGTGAGGAGAGAGAGAGAGGCAGGGAAAAATGAGAGGTGTATAGAGAGGCAGGGAAAGAAGAAAAGATATATAGAAAGATGTAGAGGTGGGTATGAAAAGGGGCGCAATGCGTGTGACATAGAGAGGTAGAGAATTAGAAAAAAATACGAGCGACCAGAAACAGTGGTGGTGGTGGTGGTGGTGGTGGTGGTGGTGTACGTTATGAGACGGAACACCATCCTCCACCTGCCATTCGTAATACAGGAGCGTGTCATTTATCTAAGCAGTTGGCTTACGGTAGCCAGCTTGAGCACGCGTCTTATCATTAGAAGCTACTCGTCACGGGAATGCTGTCATTAAACACACATGCGGGCGTGGGAGAAGCTCAAGTATATAGCCTCGATAGCCTCCATGCGCCTCGCACGTCATGTGCTGTCTTTCTTGCCATTAAGTGGCGTGAGGAGTGTGTGGAAGTATGCAAGACTGCGAGAAAGTGCGATGGGAATTAAAGTGATGTGAGATGGTGTGTGAGGCCGTGCGGTGGTGTGTGAGACTGTGATGTAGTGTGTGAAGGTGTGAGATGGTGTGTGAGGCCGTGGGGTGGTGTGTGAGGCTGTGAGGTGATGTGTGAGGGTGTGAGATGGTGAGTGAGGCTGTGAGGTGGTATGCAAAGCTGTGATGTGGCGTGTGACGGTGTGGGATGGTGTTTGAGGCTGTGATGTAGTGTGTGAGGATGTGAGACGGTATGTGAGGCCGTCAGGTGGTGTGTGAGGTTGTGATGTAGTGTGTGAGGGTGTGGAATGGTGTGTGTGGCTGTGAGGTGGTGTGTGGGGCTGTGATGTAGTGTGTGAGGCCGTGAGGTGGTGTGTGAGGCTGTGAGGTGGTGTGTGAGGCTGTGATGTAGTGTGTGAGGGTGTGGAATGGTGTGTTAGGCTGTGAGGTGGTGTGTGAGGCTGTGATGTAGTGTGTGAGGGTGTGAGACGGTGTGTGAGGCCGTGGGGTGGTGTGTGAGGCTGTGAGGTAATGTGTGAGGCCGTGAGGTGGTGTGTGAGGCTGTGATGTAGTGTGTGAGGGTATGGAATTGTGTGTGTGGCTGTGAGGTGGTGTGTGGGGCTGTGAGGTGGTGTGTGAGGCTGTGATATAATGTGTTAGGCTGTGAGGTGGTGTGTGAGGCTGTGAGGTAATGTGTGAGGGTGTGGAATTGTGTGTGTGGCTGTGAAATGGTGTGTTAGGCTGTGAGGTGGTGTGTGAGGCTGTGAGGTAATGTGTTAGGCTGTGAGGTAATGTGTTAGGCTGTGAGGTAATGTGTGAGGCTGAGAGGTAATGTGTTAGACTGTGAGGTAATGTGTGAGGCTGTGAGGTAATGTATTAGGCTGCGAGGTGGTGTGTGAGGCTGTGAGGTCATGTATTAGGCTGTGAGGTGGTGTGTGAGGCTGTGAGGGCATGTGTTAGGCTGTGAGGTGGTGTGTTAGGCTGTGAGGTGGTGTGCTAGGCTGTGAGGTAATGTGTTAGGCTGTGAGGTGGTGTGTGAGGCTAAGAGGTAATGTGTTAGGCTGTGAGGTTATGTGTGAAGCCGTGAGGTGGTGTGTGATGCTGTGATGTAGTGTGTGAGGCCGTGGGCGTAGTGTACAGGACTGTGAAGGTGCCTGCATGCGACACTACACTATAATTGAGAAGCCGTTGTTTTAATTGCCACTTGGAGGAGTGAAAACGGCACGTGACAGGCGAGCAGATATCCGCTAATCGTTGCTACGCGGCAATCTCGCGTGGCATTATTGGCCGTATAGTCTGCCTTACGCGCCGCCAACCGCGTTGATTCAATACGGACGTTGAGCTGGACGTGCGAGGACGCTGCGTGGATGTGGAGGCAGAGAGGGAGAGGGACGGAACAACAGCGAGAGATATTCGTAAATATATAAATAAGCATACACACGTGAACGCGCGCTCTTGCACGGACGCGCTCACACGCGCGCTCGCTCGCACTAAGGTACGATCATCACTGCGCGGGAAAATAAAGAGGTATAGGTGGAGAATGAGTGAAAGAGAGAGAGTGTGTATACGATGGTGGAACGGGAGAGAGAGTATAAGAAAGAATGCGTGGCAGAGGGAGAGAGAGCGTGTGTCTGAGAGAGTGACAGAGAAAGAGAGAGGGAGAGAGTGTGTGTCTGAGAGAGTGACAGAGAAAGAGAGAGAGAGAGAAAGCGAACGAGGTGTAAATATTGCCGTTACGTCCGAATCCCGGTCGTAGTTGAGGGTCGTAGGTGCTGAGGAGTCGATCAAGTATCGCCGTCACGTTTCTGTAGCCGCCGCCCTCGCGGCCGCTAGAGGGCAGCACGACCGTCCTGTTAGAGACAAGTGCCGCGTCCGTCGCAACCGTCGACCCCTTGTTCAGACTCGTGCACACTCTGAAACACACGACGAGAGAGAGCACGTGAGTCTTTACACCGCCCATTCACAATCCAAAACGCTACAGTAAAAGTCTAAAAATCCGGACTGCTCAGGGATTGGGTCGGTTCGGATTTTCGGATTTTCCGGTTTCTCGGCCAGTACTTTAAAAATTCCAATTTAGGGAGGAATAAAGAAGAGATGAACAGGTAAATTTTGATAGTTTATTCATTAGCAAATACAGCATGCTTCATTTATCAAAATGAGCAGTTTTAAAAGTTATATAAAGTCGACACTTGACAAACATAAAAAAAATTTACTACAAAAAAAAGCGTATAATGCTTGAAATCATGTTTAAAAATAAACATTGTAAAAGAGAAATACTGTAAACAATGAAAGCGAAAGTTATTTTATGCAAATTATTTAATTTTAATTTATTAAACAGTGAGTAAATATTTGAGTTTTCGAAATGTCCGGATTCTCGGATGGTCCGGATTTCTGGGATCCGGGTTTTTGGACTTCTACTGTATATGAACGTGTTTCAAATTAAAATAAATAAACTAAATACATTAAATGCTGAATGTATCACCATTCGATCCATCACTTTTCTGTATACAGGGAGTTCTTGTTTGCGAAACACATGCAATGTGGCACCTGTGTATGACGTACTGCGGTATAGGTGTGCACAGTACGTGCGAGCAGGTACGTACTTCGAATTTCCGACGGTTTATCCGAATGTCTTTTTCCACACACCTATTTGTTCGTCCGTCAATCTAAGAACCCTCCCGCTTCCGCCTCTAGCGCGCGATTTCCCTTTGCAATATTGAGCGCACTAGTCTCTAGCGCGGAGTTGAGTTTTTTGCACGTGAGTCTTCTTTATGCCGTTTACGGGCGAGTCTCGTGTGCGGTTTAAGTGAGCACTAGCGACACCTCAGCCTGTTCTGCTAGCATCTATGACAAATACGACATACGCATATACGCTCTCCTATGACACTATTTGTCATAGGAAAATTCTTCCTATGACAAATACGACATACGCATATACGCTCTCCTATGACACTATTTGTCATAGGAAAATTCTTCCTATGACAAATATTGTAGTATGTGCTGTGCGCATCATAGAAGTTTAGGAGCGGTATTAGGAACGCAAGCAGTGAAATTCAGCTGTAAAGCGGAACGAAGTTGACTCGCCAATATTTGTGCGACAAATAGTGTCATAGGAGAGCGTATATGCGTATGTCGTATTTGTCATAGATGCTAGCAGAACATGTTGGACACCTCTGACTACCCCGGGCAATAGAGACACCCGGTAGTGCAGGTTCTCTTTTGTCGGTTCTCATTTGGCGTTTTGTTGGAGGCTGCTGGTCTAGAGTATGGTGGCCGAGATGGCCACGAATATTTTTATTATTTATTTTTAATTCATTTTTATTTTAAATACATTTTCATTCTAAATTAATTTTTATTCCAAATTTATTTTCATTCCAAATTTATTTTCATTCCAAATTCGTTTTCATTTCATTTTCATTTCATTTTACAGCACACGTGACAGTATAGTTAACATCGCACGTGACAGTATAGTTAACAGCGCACGTGACAGTATAGTTAACAGCGCACGTGACAGTATAGTTAACAGCGCACGTGACAGTATAGTTGACGGCGAAAGAGATTTTATAACGTGCTAAATATTATTATATACAGTTATAGGTATATTGATTGAATTTACTATCGTACAGCATACATTAGCACCATTTACTCGTGCTTGGAGTATCCAATCGAATACGAGCAGATGACACATCTTAATCAGACTATTTAGAGTGTGAATAGCCGTTACTATTAAACGTGCTATTATTTTAAAGAAGGAAAGGTACAGAGAATGTGTTTGGTGTGTGTGTGTGTAGTTGTAGTGTGTGTGTGGTGGTGGTTGTTGTGTGGTGTTTGTGTTTGTGTGCGCGCGCCGGCGTTTGTATATTTAATTTAAAGTTCACACAATTTCATTACTTTACCGTATAGTGCCGGGAGTAAAACTCATGAAACATGCAACAAGGCATTGTAACCAACCTACCCTCGGTCAGACTGTTATTATAACCGAAATATGCTTAAATATCTTTAAAAAAATGACTAAATAGGTAAACTGCATGAGTAAATAATGTCCGAATTCACGCAGTAACAGAAACGAGAGACTGCGCATGCGCTAACAACTACATGACGTACAGACGAACAGACACATGCACGCTTATTTTCGCCGCTGTCGACGAGCTAAACACTTCCGATTCTACTAGCATTATGATTTGTCTGTTACATTTGTAATATTGGCACGTCAGGCATGATTCGCAGCCCGTCTGTGCTGAGTTACCGATCGATTCCTCAATAACTATTAATATCAACCCGCTGACTAATAATATAGCGCATTAGTCTCGAGCAAAACTAATAACTACTACGTTAGCAGCGACACAGGGGCTAACGGGCTAACCGGTGCGAGCAAATGTTACTCCATGGCATTCACGCGGCGAGAGATAGATAAAGATAGGAAAAAGAAGATGATAGATAAGATAGATAAACTAGATAGATAGATAGATAGATAGATAGATAAATAAATAATAGTGATAGAAGAGTAGATAGATATAAAGATAGAGTGATAAGATAGATAGTTAGGTAGATAATATTTATATTATTAGTTACAAATTAATATAGATAGCTATTTGTTATTTGGCTATTTAATATATATATATATATATATAGAGAAAGAGAAAATAATGTGTTATAGTGGTGTGAGTGTGTGTGTTGTGGTGCTGTGTGTGTTGTGTGTGGGTGTGTGTGTGTGTGTGTGGTGTGTGTAGTGATAGATAGATAGAGAGAGAGGAGAGTTGCTGCGACGTGTGTGAGACTGGGCGTTCCTCACGGTTTCGAATGCTCGTGTTTAGTATATTGCCGCCGCTGCATCTCAATCTAGCTCCGTCGAGCCGATATCTGGCAAGATGTTGATTGTTGACACAAGGCAGCCGCGAGATGAGATTCGCTGCGAGTCCGTATAACACGCGCCCACCGACCATTAGCATCATATATGAGTTAGACAAATATTGATGTGGGCGGCGACGCAAGGAATGTAGAGCGATTGAGTCAGCATGGCACTTTGGCCGCGACATCACCAGATCAGCGCGTAGAGTTATACGGCCGCCATTTTCCGAAGCTTTGCGATCGGACCGCTGAAGCCAATTCGTGGAAACTTATCGTGTAGATATATGGATACTCTAATTTTGTGATGCCAAGCTAAAAACTTGATGCATAAAATGATGTAAAAAGCAAATAAACACCATTAAAATATATTTAAGGAAATATACTACGTAATATTAAAACATAATAATTTAAAGTCACTGAGCCGCTGCCGTGTGCGTGCGTGCGTGGTGTGTTGTAGTTATTATTTTGTTATTCGTGGTACTACGTGTGCGTGCGTGCGTGTCGTGCGTGCGTGCGTATGTGCGTGTCGTGCATCGCGGATGTGTTGATTTACGAAATTGAACACATTGAGCAATTTAACGCGCGCAAATTACGGAGAATTGTTGCTCCCAAACGCAATCAAGGCTAACCTCAGTAAATACCGGAGCTTCGTGACTATTTATGGCACCACGTCACCACACTCTCTCGCCAGCGAATTTCTTCTAACGTGATTACTTTGACTTATTTATTCAACAAACGCAGATCAAGTATACACGTGATATATATATAATATATATATATAATATATACTAGTATATATATGACTGCTCTCGCAGTGACAACGGCTGATCAGTACACTTACGGCATGCGCGGCAGTGCGTCTCAAAAAAACGTGAGCGAGTTCCGCATAGGCGCCAGGGCCGGATGCAATTTAGTTAGCAGAAATCTCGCCGAAGAATTCCATATAAACCATTCGTTTGTTTATGATTGGACAACTTCGAAATAATGATGTATCATAACAAAGCGCACGTACGCACACACTGCGACATAGCGTACGCGCATCGAACAGCGGAAAAGCTGCCACATGCATTACATGGTATACCTAGAAAATTCTCCGTAATGAAGCGTTAGTGAGAAAAGAAATGAAATAATAAATTTAATAGGTCAGTATATTGCGTAACAATAATATCACAGGAATATTTAATTCCAATTCATAAGCGATTACAATTGCTATATAAGTCAATTTAAACTCAAATGCATGATCTAAGTTAATTGTCAAATTAAATTTTTTGTTAAAAGAAATTATTGCTTCCCTAATATATAACTAACTGTTAGTTTATACGCGATACATTGAACACATTTTCCTTCATTAATTCAATTTATAAGCGGTAATAATTATACAGTATGTGAATAGACTACAATGCATGTACATCGCATTGAAAACGTATTTTTACGTGTTAAAGGCATCCTTTTTCATCTGAAGTAGAAACCAACAGTTTACTATAAGGTCGAGACGTTTACTAATATTTCTATCATTTTCAACGTCTGTGCCTATGTTTAGTGTCTATGTCGCGGTGCGCTAACCACAACGCTGAACGGCGTATGCGCTTATGCATTCTTTGAGAAGTGATGAGAAGGAGGAGACATGAACGTGAAAGTAGATCCACGGTATATGAGATACATATAATAAAAATAAACTTGTAAAAATATTAAACTTTTTATGACGAGCGATGTTCGATCTATTTTAAGGAGGTTGCGCGTGCGTGTGTGTGGTGCTTGTGGCGTGCTCTGTGTCTCTGTGTTGCGCGCGTACCATGATTATAATGACTAATAAATAATAATATTTATATTTATATATAATAATATATATAATAATATATATATATATATAAATATAAATATATAAGCAACCATACATATATATACTAAGTGTGTGTGTGTGTTTGTTTGTGTGTGGTGTGGGTGTGTGGCGTCGTGTGTGTGTGTGTGTGTGTGTGTGTATGTTGTGTGGGTGTTGTGGTTGTTTGTGTGTGTTGGTGGTGTGTGTATGTGTGCTGTTTTAGCGATGTGGTTTAATCATCGTGGG